ATTTTGGTCACTGTTTCTTTGGAGGTGCAGAAGCTTCTTAGTTTAAGATAGTCCCATTTATCTATCTCTGTTTTCACTTGGGTTGCAGAATTTTCTTCTCTCCCGTTTTATGTAGTTTTTCTCTACTTTTTCTTTTTTGTTTTTCTTTTTTTTTGGCTTTTTGGGTCACACCTGGCGATGCAAAGGGGTTACTCCTGGCTTCGCACTCAGGAATCACTCCTAGCGGTGCTCAGGGGACCATATAGGATAATGGGAATCAAACCCAGGTTGGCCACGTGCAAGGCAAATTCCTTACCCACTGTGCTATCACTCCAGCCCCTCTCTTCTTTTTCTTTTTCTTTTTACCACTTGGATCACTATTATTTTTGGCATTTTTTGGCATCTATTTTGTTGATACTCTTTGGGTCTCCTGATTATGAGCAGGAGCCTCTATCCAGATATCAGGAAAATTATCAGTTATTATTTCTTCCACCAGCCATTCTCCCCATTCTCTTTACCCTGTCCATTATTCTTATGAAACAAAGATTATTTATCTTGCTATTACCTATTACAAATCTTACATTCTATTCTATTTTTCTACTTCTTTTTCTTCTGTAACTCCATTATTGGTTGTGACTAGAATTTTATTTTCAATATCACTGAAACTGCCCTCCATATGTTTAATTCTGTTGGTGTGACTGGCTCATTTTTAACTTCTTCAGCTCCATTTGCATGGACTCTCTGATACCCTGGAACAAGGTATTATCTTTTTTTTGTAGGAGTACTGCTATTTATTCAGCCACTGATTAGCTGATTGAATTGTGTGTGAACTCCACCTTACTTTTTTTTTATTTTTATAATTTTTTTAATTGAATCACCGTGAGAGCACTTACAAAGCTTTCAGGTCTAAGTCTCGGTCGTAAAATGAAACACCCGTACCTTCACCAGTGCCCATTCTCCACCACCAAAAACCCCAGTATACCCCAGTATACCCAAGTATCCCACACCCTCCCCCTACCTGTGGGGCAGATGATTTCCACATTACTCTCCCTCTACTTTGATCACATTCAATATTTCAACACCAGACCTACCATTATTATTTGATATTTTACCCGAACACTCAGATATGCTGAAAAGGCAACCGTAGACAATTTGTGTTCTATTGCTGGTTATGAATAACATATGATGTTGCATGGCTGCAGTAGGGCCATGTGATTTTGAAATTCCAAAATTTTAACATTTAAATCTGGAGGGATTTCTGCCAAAAGCCACTAGGTTTTGATATTTGCTCCTGAGTCTCTGGGATCATGGCCATTGAGCAGCTTGATCAGGAGCCAGGGAGGCCGTTCATGGGCAATGACTTGGGGTCTCGTTGGGGTGGGGAGGACAGGCCTGGCTCCACCCCCATCCCGTGAGGCCCAACAAGTTTCGTCACTGCAGGCCCAAGCCTAACTGTCCAGTTGCCTCTGGAGGATAATGGCCACCAAGCCGCCAGGGAGAAGCAGGAGGAGGGAGAGCACCCTTACCCCCCAGGGTGGCCCGGCGACAGTGACCTACTGTGGGTTCCGGATGCATTTCTGCCAAAAGCCGCTGGGTTTTGAGATTTGTTTCTGAGCCTCTGGGATCATGGCCATTAAGCAGCTTGATCAGGAGTCATAAAGGCTGTTCGTGGGCAATGACATGGGGTCTCATTGGGGTGGGGAGGATAGGCCTGGCTCCACTCCCATCCCATGAGGCCCAACAAGTTTCATCACTGTGAGCCCAAGCCTGACTGTCTAATGTCCTCTGGAGGATGACGGCCATTGAGCCGCCAAGGGGAAGCAGGCCAAGTCACGAAACGTATTCCCACCTGGGTTGGCCCAGCACCGGTAACCTACTGCAGGGACCGGACGCATTTCTGCCAAAAGCCGCTGGGTTTTGAGATTTGTTTCTGAGTCTCTGGGATCATGGCTGTTAAGCAGTTCAATTAGGAACCAGAGAGGCCATGCCTCCAATTGTATAGCTGAGTCGGAGGTGGTTTGTGGGTGTGTTTCCCACATACCTAACTTTTGGCCATTTACTTTCTTGGTAAATTTTGCCCCAAGTTTTTGGGGGTCTGGCCAGAGGCACAGCAGCAATTTTGAGGTATCTGGAAGTCTGAAGGCGCCGTCAGGCTACTGAAGAACTCGCCTCACAGGTACAGATTGACCTGCTAGTGGTGCTATACACCCAAGGTATTATCTTTTGACTGATTTTTTTCTTTCAGAGCTTTCTTTACTTTATGGCCATTGCAAAGGTAATTGATTTTATTTCCTCATTGATTATGCTTGATATTTATTTAAACTCAATGATTTACTGTAATTTCTGTCCCTGTCAGAGCACTATACTCAGTGTTGTTCAGAGTGGAGATCTGTGGAGCTGAGGTTTGAGCTCAGGTCTTGTGCAGGCAAAGCTTGAATCCCGGATGTCTGAGCTATCTCCCTGGCCCTGATCATATAAACTATCTTTCATTGTGTTGATGTATCATTTTAATTTGTTTGCATATGTTGAGCCACCCGTATATTCCTGAAACAAATATTATTTGATTATGGTGGACAATCCTTTCAATGTCTTGTTGAATTTCTTTCACTAAAATTTTCTTTAGGAGCTTTGCCTCTATGTTCATTAAGGATATTGAAATATGTTCTTCCCCTCCCTCCCTCCCTCGCTCCTTCCTTCCTTAGTCTTTCCTCCCTTCCTTCCCTCTCTTCTTCCTTTCCTCTCTCCCCTTCCTTCCTTCTCTCTTCTTCCATCCTTTCCTCCCTCCCTCCCTCCCTCCCTCCCTCCCTCCTTTCTTTCTTTCTTTCTTTCTTTCTTTCTTTCTTTCTTTCTTTCTTTCTTTCTTTCTTTCTTTCTTCACCACACCTAGTTCTCTCCAGGGTTTGTTGATATATCTTTGCCTAAACATTATTCCTGTCAGGGCTACATACGTGATGACGAAGATCAAAGTCACGTCAGCTTGCCTAAGCACACTGCTTGCTGGACTGTCTCCCTGGCCTCAGTCTTCTCATGTAAGATAGCTGTTTTCTTGTTGATTTGTGTCTAGTTGTGTTAAATGGTAAAAGATTATCTCCTACAGCAATTATGCTGCTGTTCATATCTATATTTAGACTTGTTATCTATTTTATTTATTTTGATTTGGTGAATATGTTATTGGTTATTAAGTTCTCTTGATGTGTAGACCCTTTACTCATTATTTAATGTGCAATTTTATCTCTTATCACATATTTTGTTGAAGAAGGGTTTGGGCCATACCTAATGGTGCTCAGGGGCTACTCTTGGCTCTGTGATTACTCCTGGCTCATTGTTCAAAGTCACTACTGGTGGAACTAGGGGAACCATACACAGTGCCAAGAATCTAACCATTTGATTACACTTTTATCTTAAATCTATTTTTTTATTTAGAAGTTGTATACAGTCAACTCCTGTTTTAGTCCACCATTTACCTGTTGATAAATTGTCTATAATTTTAAAATTTTTCTATAGCATTAAAGTTGTTTCCTAAAAAAGCAAAATATTTAGTTTGTTTTCTTATTCACCCATCACTCTGCACCTTTTGATTGTGAGTTTATTTGATTAATATTTGGTAAAATTAATGATTTAAAGAATTTTATCATTTTTATTAACTCTAGATGTTTTAGGGGCTAGAGAGGTAGTATATCAGGTAAGGAACTAACTCAGGGCTTAAACCTGGCGCTGTATTCAGGGACTACTAATAGGCTCAGGGGACTGAATGGGGTGCTGAGAATTGAACTTAAGTTGTGCAAATGTACCCTACCTATTTATTTGGTCCTTGTCCATAAAACATTTTATCTCTCCTTCAGAACTACTTGATAGAGAAATCTTGGAGATATTTTACATTAAGTACTTTAGATATATCATGTGACTCTATTCTGGCCAGTAGTTTCTTTGAGGAAAATATCTGTTGTGAGTTAATGGATGTTTTCTCATTTGTGACTATTTGCTTTTATTTTTAAGATTTTGGAGCTCATTGTGTATTGTTGATTTTTGCTTGATTTATAACAATTTGGAATCCTATATTGCACTATCCACAATAGCCCAAATCTAAAAACAACCAAAATGTCCAAGAATAGATGACTGAATAAGGAAATTATGATTTCTTTATACACACTGTAGCACTGTCCTCCTGTTGTTCATCGATTTGCTCTAGTGGGAACCAGTAACATCTCTATTGTGAGACTCGTTGTTACTGTTTTTGGCATATCAAATATGCCAAGGGGAGCTTGCCAGGCTCTGCTATGTGGGCAGGATTCTCTTGGTAACTTGCCCAGCTATCCAAGAGGAATGGAGGAATCTAACCCAGGTTGGCCACATGCAAGGCAAACGCCCTACCTGCCGTGTGGGGCTGGAGCGATAGTACAGCGGGTAGGGCGTTTGCCTTGCACGCGGCCAAACCAGGTTCAGTTCCCAGCATCCTATATGTTCCCCTGAGCAATGCCCGGAGTAACCTCTGTGCATCGCCAGGTGTGACCCAAAAAGCAAACAGGAATTTAAAACTATAAAGAAAATAACTTTGAAGAAAAAACTTTGAAGAAAATATAAGCACAAATATTTTTACCTTGAATTAGACAATGATTTATTTTTATTTTTTGTTTGAGGGATTCACCTACCAGTGCTCAGGGCTTACTCATGGGTTTGTGCTCAAGCATCACTCCTGGCAAGAGTCCTATGACCATATGTATTGCTGGGGAACAAACATAGGTTGACAGCATGCAAGCCCTACCAGCTATACAATTGCTCCAGAAAAACAATGATTTCTTAAATATGATTCCAATCAGTAACCAATAAAGAAATTACGATATCAAGAGATTATCAGCAAAATGAATGATTTTACTTTTCAAAAATAACAACAAAATGAAAAGTCATCCTCCAATATTGAAGGGTGAAATTTTTGTAAATAATGGATTTGTTAAGTTCTGTGTATATATAAATAACATCATAATGCTATTAATATAATATAAACTCAGTTATAATATTAATATATAAATACATTTTATATAAATACATATATTTGTCATCTTTGCTCAGGGGCCATGCTAATCTTCTCTGTATCATTCCGATTTTAGTATATGTGCTGCCAAAGCAAATTCGTGAAGGAGTCCATATTTTTATAATTTTTTTAATTTTATTTTTTTTATTGATTGAGACACTGGCTCTCAGAGAGCCCGGCAAGCTGCTGAGTGTATCCCGCCCATATTGCAGAGCCTGGCAAGTTCCCTGTGTTGTATTGGATATGCTAAAAACAGTAACAACAAATCTCACAATGGAGACATTTCTGGTGCCTGCTCGAGCAAATTGCACAATGGAGACATTTCTGGTGCCTGCTCGAGCAAATTGATGAACAATGGGAGGACAATGCTACAGTGCAGTGCTACATATATTTGTATTATATGAATACAATTAAATAGAAATACATTTATATATTTGTGTTATATACATATAACTTATAAATATGTATAATGAATATTATGTTTGGGGGCAGTAATATTGCTAGGCCATATGTAAATTCTATTCCTATTATTTTTTAGTTGTCTTCATATTACTTTCCATAGAGGCTAAACCAAATGATATTCCCATCAACATTGGATGAGTATTCCTTTTTTAGCACACGTTCACCAACACTGGCTTTTCCCAGGCTTCTTAATATATGCCATAATCCCTGGCAATGTTGTTTTTATTTTCATAATCATGAATGATATTGGGCACTTTTTATATTCCTGAGGCATAAAAGTATTAATTCAAAAGGATACAATACACACCTATGTTACTCATATAATTTTTATAATAGCCATGAAATGGAAATAACCTAAGTGCCCATGTACAGATGACTGGATCAAGAAGTGTGTTATTGATAACCTCTCAGTATTTGTGTTGTGGACCATAATTAGCAAAAGGAGAGAGAGAGAGGTAAAGAGAGAGAGAGAGAGGGAGAGAGAGAGAGGAAAATGCCTGCCATAGAAGCAGGCTGGGGTGGGGTGGCGGGGCGGTGGGAGGGAAATTGGGGTCATTGATGGTGCTAAATGTACACTGGTAGAGGGATGGGTGTTGGCACATTGTATGACTCAAACTCAATTATGAACAGCTTTGTAGCTGTGTATCTCACAGTGACTCAATAAAAATAAAGCAAAAAAGAAGTTGTGTTATACACAATGAAATACTGTGCAACTTTAACAAAGAACAAAATCATGTAATTTTCAAAATATAGATAGAACTATAGAATATGCTGAGTTAAATCAATCAGAAAGAATGATATAGACACAAAGTGATCTCACTAATATGTGGGACCCAAGGATGTAACATAGCAATAAAGGGCCAAAGACAACACAACAGGAGAACTGATCCACAAAATTAAGTTGGGGGTATTAAGGGGACGGGTATGGATTTCCATGGGGAAGGGAAGTGGGTACATTGATGATGGATGTGGTGTAGGATTTTGCGCATAAAACACACCAAAAATAGCATTATAAATCACAGATCCTCAATCAATAAAAAATATATTTAAAAAGAATATTATGAACTTCGCGCCTGGCTGTCCTCACCGGGGCCCCTTGGAGGAGGGTGGGTTGAGTTTCCCTCCCCACTCCGAGCAGAGCCCTGGCAGCTGAAAACATCTGGTTCCAGTCACAGCCATACTTAAGACCACTCTCCACACGTTCGGATGAATCTCACGCATGAAGGAACCGGCAGAGGAAGCCAGGTGTGCGGGACCCAGGGCATAGATCTCCAAGCCTGCTCGGATTGGGACTGGGGCCTCCTCCACCCAGATCCCCCATCTTCTAGTACGTAGGCATTACACCTACCAACTGCCCCCGGCGCCCTGTAATCCCATCAACGGCCAAGACCCAGAGACTATTAAACCCTGCACCCGGAAGAGAACAATGCAGTCTCCTGCCTCTTTGCCTGGCTGTCCTCACCAGGGCCCTTTGGAGGAGGGTGGGTTGAGCTTCCCTCCCCACCCCGAGCAGAGCCCCGGCAGCTGAAGACCTCTGGTTCCAGCCACAGTCATGCTTAAGACCACTCTCCACACATTTGGACGAGCCTCAGGCCTGAAGGAACCAGCAGAGGAACCCAGGTGTGCGGGACCCAGGACATAGATCTACAAGCCTGTTCAGGTTGGGACTGGGGCCTCCTCCACCCAAATCCCCCATATTCTAGTATGTAGGTGTTATACCCACCAGCTGACCCTGGCGCCGTGAATCCCATCAATGACCAAGACCCAGAGACGATAAAATCCTGCTCCCGGAAGCACATGGCTGCATTTGTGGCCACACAACATCTTATTATCTAGTTCTTACTCTGGAGAACCTGGCATGCTACCAAAAGTATCCTTCCCACAGCAGAGTCTGGCAAACTCCCCGTGGCGTATTCAATATGCCAAAAACCAGTAATAATGATGGGTCTTTTTCTCCTGACCTTGAAAGAGCCTCGAATGGGGCACATTTTAAAATCTCTGGGCTAGGACAAAGGAGATGTTACTGGGGCCTGCTCGAGGCAATTGATGAACAACAGGATGACAGTGATCCAGTGATTCTGAACTTCGGGCAGGAGAGATAATAGAGTGGGTAAGGTGCCTTGCATGCAGCAAATCGTGACTACTGACAGCCCATTGGTCCCCTGAACTATGCCAGGAGTTACTCCTAAGCATAGAGCCAGGAGTAGTGCCCAAGCATCATCAGGTATATCCCAAAAAACAACAACGACAAAAAGAATATTAGGTAAAAGGTCCTCCCATTGATCATCGATTTGCTCGAGCGGGCCCAGTAACGTCTTCATTGGAGACTTTGTTGTTACTGTGTCTGGCATATCGAATACGTCACAGGGAGCTTGCCAGGCTCTGCCGTGCGGGCAAGATACTCTCGGTAGCTTGCCGGGCTCTCCGAGAGGGGCGGAGGAATCGAACTCGGGTCGGCCATATTGGCTGCGTGCAAGGCAAATGCCCTACCGCTGTGCTATCGTTCCAGCGGTAAAAAGAATATTATGGCTTAATAATAAAAAAAACATGGTGCCAGAGAGGTATTGTACAGGAGGTAAGCCACTTGCCTTACTTATGGCCTATCCTTGTTGTTTCAAATCCTACATTCATTGATTGGTCCGCTGAACATCACTGATCAGATAGAGAAGGGAGCATCAAATAAAGGGTGTTGGGAGGATCCTCCCAGGATGGGAGATGCATGCTGAAAATAGACTATAGACCGAACATGATCACCTCTCAATGCCTCTTTTGAAAACCACAGCACCCAAAAGGAGAGAGAGAAAAAAGGGGAATGCCCTGCCACAAAGTCAGGGTTGGATGGGGAGGATAGGGGTTGGGAAGGTTACTGGGATCAGTGGTGGTGGGAAATGGGCACTGGTGGAGGGATGGGTATCTGATTATTGTATTATTGAAATTCAAGCACAAAAATTTGTAAGTCTACAACTGTACCTTATGGTGTGTCACTAATAAAAAATAATTAAAAAAAACACTGAGCATCACTGGGGGCCACTACTCCTCATTATAGAGAAGTATTCCCTGAGCATTGATGACTATGGCTCCCAAACCCCAAAATAATGAAAGTAAAGAAATAAAATTTAAAAATAATAAAAACATTTAAATCACTAATGCCATGTGTAGATAATTCTAAAATAATGTATGTAAAGTTGTCAATAACTTAACGAAAATACTTATATTTTATCTATTTTTAAATTTTATAGTCAATTTTATTGAGGTAGTGGGAGATACACTACTGTTATTTATTTATACTTTTATTTATACTTTCATTCATATATCATACCAACACCACACCCATCATCAGAGAGAACACTTCCATCCATTTCTCTCTAGGGACTTCTCTACCTCCAATGTAAGTTCAGTCTTTATATATATATATATAGTCTTTATATATATACATATATATCACGTGTAAAATATATATATTTTATTTTATCACGTGTAAAGATATATATATCTCAAGTGGGAACTTCCCTCCACCAATCTCCCCAGTTTCTCACTTCTTTGCCAAACCTGATCCCTTAGCAGGTAGAAATTTACTCATTATTGTTTGTTAGAATATATATTTCCCAACAGTCTTGCTAAGGTCACTGCCTGAGGATTTTCTCAGCTGTTAGTTGCTAGTTGAGCTTCTGTGTTATTGTTCTCACTAACTGGACTTAGTGGGCTTCTATACAACTTTCCCATCTAATTTGTTGTGCTCCTACTCAACTATAGTACTGTGAAATTTGGAAATATTCAATAGTTTTGTTACTGAGGTCATTTAGCAGCTGGGTAACTCTTAGCGATTAATCTTGGAACTGGGCCATATATATGTTGTATGAAGTTGGGCGTGGGTGGGGTTCTGGACCTCTCTTCGGGGCAGAGACTTGTCCACCTCATGCAGAGAAGGCTCCAGAGATCTCAGCCCGGAAACCGGGCCTAACTCTGACAGATTAGCTGAGGTGTCTGACTGACATAAACTCAGTTTTATAGACAAAATCTCTAGTTCTGATGACTTTGATCATAATTTGTGGCAATATTACTATTTTATTTTTACCCCATAATGGAAAAGATTATTTATTGAGGATGTGGTGATGCCTTAATTTCTATCAAGCATATGCATATAAAATCGCAATAAAATATTGCCCATAATAACAATGACAAAAAATCAGTAACTTTGTATAGCAATATAATAAAATTTACAATTACTGTAGCCCTATTACCTAAACTTTCTATTATATAAAAAGATCATATCCAAGATAACAGATGTTACATTGCAAGTACAAAAGCTTTCAAAGAACACTTTAGCAGTATTTTTAATAATAACCAATGATCTGAGCAACCAAATTGTATATAAACTTATGATAATGGTTGGGGCTAGAGAGGTCTTACAGAGATCAAGCTGTATGTCTTGTAGCTGATTAGATCTTCGGCACCACATGGCCCCACAGAATGTTACTGAATGCAACCATAGAGGCATCTGAAGACTGCCTGGTGTGGCCCGGGTTATTTCCAGCATAGAAGTGTCTAAGTAGCACTGTATCCTTGGGTTCTGGCATGGAAAAACCTTTCTGATTATCAAAAAATCACAGGGAGATAATGAGGCCTTCTGAGAG